GTATCAAATCAAATCAAAGATACTTTATTAATCCCAGAGGGAAATTAGAGTTTCAGTACACACAATTCAGAGAAATTGGTGACTGTGGTCATTCGCAACCATGAGTCACGCTACCTATGCATGTGTGTGTTTAGTGTATATGCATGTGTGTGCATGTGTGTGCATATGTGTGTGTGTGTATGCATGTGTGCATTTGTGCATGCATGTTTTCGTGCCCATGTGTATGTGTGTTTGTGTGTGCGTGCATGTGTGCATGTGTATGTTCATGTCTGTTAGTGCATGCATGCCTGCACATGTGTATGTGTATGTATGTGAATGTGTGCGTGTATGTGTGTGTGTGCATGTGTGTGTGTTCATGTGTGCTTATTCATTTGTGTGAGTGGGTATGCATGCATGCATGTGTGAGTGTGTGCGCGTGCGTGTGTGTGTGTGTGCCTGCATGCATGTATTAGTGCATGCATGTATGCCAATGTCTATGTGTTTTTGCATGTGAGTATGCATGTGTGTGTGTGTGTGTGTGTGTGTGTGTGTGTGTGTGTGTGTGTGTGTGTGTGTGTGTGTGTGGAGGTGTGTGTGTGTGTGTGTGTGTGTGTGTGTGTGTGTGTGTGTGTTTGTACATGCATCCATGTGTGTGTGCGTATGTGTGTGTATGCGTGTGTGCGTGTGTGTGTCTGATCCACCCACTAGCTTTATCCTTGCAGTTTATCAAGATAAAAGCATAGAAGATTCAAACCAGAGGTGTGTGTGCAGCTGTAACACACATTACCACAATAAACACAGAAATACACTTTGATCAGGAAGCCTGAGAGATAAGGTTTATAAATATATATAGTTGTGTTTTGGGTTTTTTTCCATCATATTTGAGGTAAATTGCGGCTGGTCTATCCGTGATAAGACCAAAGCTTGTAAGTCAAATAAAAGCAGGCAGGACGCCACGCTGATTCCTTTTGACACGTTTTTAGTTCTGATGCTTCACAGCGAGGTGGGATTTTTGAAGACTGGAGACTAAGGTGAGTCTCGTCAGTCGTGTAATACTTGTGGCAGATGTCTTGTAGCTTTGGGTCACTGTGACCATGTCTGTCTGTGAGTGTGTGTTTCTGCAGCTGAGAGATTGCGCCTGCGTGTCATTGGTGTTTGTGTCCAGGTCTGTGTAAGTGCACATTATGCTGCTGAATGTCACAGCGAACTCTTATCTTGGTGTGCCCTGTGCTGCTGTGGCGCCGATGAGATAGCATCACAACACAGCTGCTTTCAGGGCTCTGCCAGACATCCCTCTTCCTGCCTTCAAAAATCCCACTATCTGAGCCTCCGTGCACAATATCACCACTCCCAAACACCCCCGTCCCTCCAAAGGCACCCCCCACTTTGATGCACCATGTCAACACAAAAGAACACTAACTTAAGAAGCAACAAAGAAATTACTGATGAGATAAAAGTATCAACATCTGTTGTCTCGGCCAAATTAGATTTGACCACTATGTCCATTTACATCAGGAGCTTCTGAGTTATCCTTAAGTCCTTATTTGTGTCCAAACAGCTGAGAAGTAGTAATAGGTGCAATTTGATATAAAATACCTTTCTGATACTGAGCTGCTGTTTGGAGCCTTGGCTATTTTAAATAAGTAGCTTGCTGCAGGCTGTAAAATGCCAGCGAGTGGTGGGAGAACTCCACCTGCAACCATTTTTCTTTTCCTTTTCTTTTAGCTCCATTTTGGTCCTAAATGGATATTATCAAGTGCCTGTGTACAAGTTATTAATAACTGTGTTCTTTGCAGATCTAGCCAACTTGATAAAATAGAAATTATAAATTTTACACAGAAGCACGCCTCAGAGTCGTTTTAACTCTAAAAAGCTCAATTATGGCCAGTTGAATGCTTAATCCATCTGCAAGTGGCCCTGGATGAGAAGCAAGCTCTCATTCACTTTTGCAGGAGGATAAAAGCAAAATTTAATAAAAAAATAAAAAACACCATCAAACATTAAAAGTAAACTGAATTCGCTGCTTTAACCTTGCAGGCTATTTATACTGCTGAGCTGTCACGTTTATGAAAAATATGGTTGTAATGTTTGACACCAAAAGAGAGAACAAAGCCCGATAAAGATCTGTTTCTGCCCTGGAGACCAGTAGGGCACCTTAATCCCTTTCAGGCTCCAGTTATTCTCCTCATTCATGTGTAAATGACTCTAATCACTCAAAGAGACACAACGATTAAAGATTCATTCTGCAGCAGAATTTTGAACCCTGCTTGCTTCCATACACAGTTTCACTAATAATGTGGAACTCAAGCAAATCGAAAAAGTTGATCACTCAACTTTCATTTGTTTTTTATTTCTTTTAAATCTATTAAATTATATATATTTTAAGAACAGACTGGACTAATGATTTCCACAGGAGTTGTTCCTGACATTTAGGGGTCATTAAAGAGCCTGAGACTTACCCACCCCTACCTACAGATTACAAATGTAGCAGAGGAGACAGATGGGCCCAATCAGCTGCTGACCAAGAGCTCCACTGGATAATTTAATGTGCAATTAATAAATGCTACTACCGGCATTTCAGCCTATTCTCATCTAATTGTGCTTCTGATTTCCCCTTGTTCTTCTTTTCCTCTCTGTCTTTATCAACTGCTTCTTCCTGTTTTTTTCCTTCCTTCCAATTCTTTAATAACAGCAATATCCGTTGCTCTCTGCTGGACTAAGTGGCTTAACCTTCCTCTTTTATCCCTCCAATCCTTTCAAAATAAAAGGAGAGGACAAATGCAGATTCCTTTGCACTTAGCCCACCAATATGAAACTGTTTTCCATACATTTACTTCTCCTTCTTGGTGTATCGTGAGCACAGTAATCTCGTAGGTTTGTGTCTAGCGGAGAGAGCGAGTAATGGAGCGTGACCCGCCTAGCTGGAGCTCTTTGTTCTGCTCAGACCCTTCATCCTTCTCAGGGTCAACGAGACCTCAAGGCTAGTCTATTAGGAATACAGAGGGGGAAATATAACCCACAGAAAATGAGAAACGGATCCTTCATCACATTCGACTTTTCTGCTACCATATTTTTCCAATTTCAGCACTCTCTAAGCTGAAGACCCGGAGACGAACAGCAGAGAAAGAACAAAGCCAGGAGGAAAGAGGAAGGAGAAATGAGGAGCGTGGGACAAATGGAAGGAAACCAAATATATAAAAACCAGAACAGATAAAAATAAAAATAAAAATAAGGTGGGAGAAAAAATAAAAGACTGGAGTCTGTGGTTTATATGTGCTCCAAGACCCTTTCTTCTGCGGTGAAGATGCTGTGAACAGGAGCTGGAAAACCTCAACATTGTCTCGCCCACAAAGGATCTTATTAACCTGGACTGGGTTTTTGTCTGAAAACAAATCAGAAGGAGAAATAAAACTGTCTTGTTGACTAGTTGATTTCAGGTCTTAACCTAGAAATGATCCAACATTCACAGATATCTATACAAATACCCACAGAGTCCACCTTTATTTTCTTATAATGAGAAGAAAGATGCCTCCTTGCAGCATAAACAGAGAAAAATCTATGCTAGAGTTAATTCATTCTCCTTTTATTAACGATTGCTAATTAAATCATCAGGAGACCCCACCAACAAACATTTGAGATGATCAGAAATTGATCATCTGCTTCTAGAAGAGCCAATACTGCCTTTAACTCTTCATGGTTTAACATATTTTTATTTTCATTTTTGTACAAACTTCTTTTGATTTCTGCTGATGCTTCCCTGCAGGCACCAGACAGTACACGATTGTTCCCTACAGTTTAATGGCTGATCTGTCTCGGCGTGTGAACCTGCACAGAAGGTCCTTAGGTCTATGAAGTATTAGCTGCACAGTCAGACCCATGATGCCAAAAGCACTGGAGGCAACATGTCTGTGTGTAAAAGTGGCCATGGGGAGGATTTTTCCAAACTCAATTACAAATAAAAGCTCTGGCACAATGACTAGAGGTGGTGTAAGGCTGACAGGTAAGACTTTTTAAATGATACACTGCAAAAACAGATTCTCAAGAACATTTAAAAAAAAAAGGTCTGGTTTTAGACATTTTATCTTATGTTTAGTCTAAAAAGAAAATATATCTGCACAAACACCTCTACTGGAGAAAAAAAGGTTAATATTAAAATCTAACATAACATTCATTTGCTTGTTTGCTAGTTGCTACGTTTGCTTAACCCAGTAGCACATTTTTTTTACTCAAATCAAGAACATTTGATCCTATATTTATCTAATTATAAAGCAGTGCTTTTTTAAGTTAAAGATTTTTTATGACTAAAATGATAAAATGTTAAAAAAAAAGTTTTTACTTCCTTGAAAATAATTTTTTTCAGTGCATTAATAGAATAAAACTATGAGCAATAATGCAAGTGTGTTACTGGTCTTTCCTCTGAAACAATACAAGTTTAACCACTGGTCCAGAAATCAGAGGGTTCTCTTGAGGTTTCAGCACAGTTAAATGTCAATAAGACCCGTGTTGACAGTGACAGAGAGTTCATTTGTAATTATTTTTAGTCACACAACAATCTGAGTTTGTCGGAGCTAAATAATAAAAAAAAAACACTTAACACATGCTCTTGAGAATTTCCCCACAGGATTATATAGTTTTTTTTTTATGGTGACTAAATACAAGAGTGTGGCTCAGTACTGAGTGAATCCCAAAAGACGTTTGACTATTAAAAACTTAGAACCAGAGGACAAAAAAGGGGGGGATGATTTAAAATGAGACATCTTGCTTTATTGAGTTCTAGATAAGGGTTCTGTGAAGTTTCTAAATTATACAGTACAGTCCTGCTTCGGTTATTTCAGAATAAAAGAGCACATGAAGATAAAAATTAATGGGCTCATTTTGTAAATATGAAACAAACAAACTCCACAAACCAAGTAGCTTCCTAGTCATACAACCTAACAGACCAACCGATTCAAACTAGTACAAGCTGCACACTGGAGCTCTAAAGAATGACAGGAACACGTCCCACAGGGAGCAGAACTTACGGTGCAGTGGTTCTGTTGCTGCAACAGGGTGGGCACATCTCCTCCGATGGGCATCTGCTTGGCCAGCTCTTCGTCCTTCATGCAGATCCAGTGCCACAGCTCCTCCAGGAGTCCCAGAAGACGGGACCAGCGCTCAGCGCTAGCCTCGAGGTGGGCTCTGCCAACATGCAACAGCAACTTTAATCTTTATACTTCAACTCTTTATTTTCTCTCACAATTTCTCACAAAGTGCAGCGGACAAATCAACATGTTCAATTACTTTTACATCATTATTTGTTTTTTTGCAGGACCACAAAAATCATAAGCTTTTACAAACTAGATTTTGAGTGAGAAGAGGCTGCTGACAGTAAGTGCAGTTGACTATGTGGGTGGTTGTATATATGCAGTTTGTGCTGACAAGCACTTTAGTTCTGTTCCCTCCTCTGGGCATAATGTTAGCGCTGTGCAGAGGACTCCTATTACCACTCAACAAGCTAACCTTAATTACACATGTATTGCAATTAGGCCATAATGGGCTGTATATAATCAACAGGCACACACGATATAGCAACTCCTACACAAACAGTTCATTTATTTACTTATTTTATGTCCAGCTCAATTTTTTGCACTGGTCCCTTATAAAATTTTTATTTCATTTACTTGGTATTTTCTTTAAGACTACACCCTTTCCGCTCTCTGCTCCTGTAGCTTTCTTGTGTGACTGTGCTGCTTCACCCCATCATCGCTCTTCCTCTTGGTCTTTGAACATCTCCATCTGGCTCCTGTCATCTCCACTTTTACCCTCACTTTATTCACAGTCAACACTTCTGCATATTACTAATCTCCATTATATATGCCGAGGTTGTGGCTGACAGTAATATCTATGCCTTCAGAAGTTTGTGTACCTGTGTGCTGACTCTCTGGTTTTTTAAAGGTGGTATTTTATCCCTGACGGACGTGAGAAGCAGAAGAAGTAAGGCATAGCCTGGAACGCATTAGGACGATCCAGGGGACCTCAAGGGGCTCAGAATAAAACTGAATCAGAATAAAGCAAAAGGTGTTTTGGGAAAATAAAAAGTTCTTGCGTAGCATTATGACAGTTACAAAATAATTAAGCTGATCTAGAATAACCTTCTGTGTATCGATAAATGAGATAAACATTTAAAGACTGAATTGAAAACGCAACTATTTTCTGTAGCTTTTGAGTGTTTAATCGGTTTAGTATTTTATTTTTGTTTTACTATTGTTTTTATTTTCTTAATGAGTTTTTTTTAATGTTCAGCACCTTGATAAATCTTTAGTTGTTTTTTTGAATTTGCTATACAAACACAACTTGTTTGTTTGGTTGGTTCGTTGTTGATTGGTTGGTTGGTTGATTAGGTGGTTGGTTGGTTGATTGGTTGGGTGGTTGGTTGGTTGATTGGGTGGTTGGTTGGTTGGGTGGTTGGGTAGTTGGTTCGTTGTTGATTGGTTGGTTGACTGGGTGGTTGGTTGGTTGATTGGGTGGTTGGGTGGTTGGTTGGTTGATTGGGTGGTTGGTTGGTTGGGTGGTTGGGTAGTTGGTTCGTTGTTGATTGGTTGGTTGACTGGGTGGTTGGTTGGTTGGTTGATTGGGTGGTTGGTTGGTTGGTTGTTGATTGGTTGGTTGACTGGGTGGTTGGTTGGTTGATTGGGTGGTTGGTTGGATGATTGGGTGGTTGGTTGGTTGGTTGGTTGGTTGGTTGGTTGATGCCAATTAATAAAATAACTGCATTGCAAGAAAATCCCGTCTAAGTAAATGTCTCTTTAAAAGCGTTTTTGATAGTTGAAGGGTTTTATCAGCAGACGGCTACTAGTATTCCAGTAGTTTTGTCTAGTGGTGGAAGTCAATGGAGGAGTTTGATATGGTGTCAGAAATAATGAAAACTTCTATAGGGACAAATTATTAGGTTAGCTGTCAAATTGTGCCTTGAAATGATTGACTTGACTTTAGCTGTAAGTAGTTTGTGATTGAATATCCGACTTCCATTTACTGAAGAGTATTCTACCAATTGGTGTAATAGTTTACATCTGTTAAAAAATTAGTCCAAAAACGGTAATTAAGAGAGCAATTGGGGGTCTTAATTACACCATTATTGCCAAATATTGTGATATCAGTTAAAAACAAACTACATATTCCCAGCTCTTTTCTTTCCCTTCTATCATAAGAACCCTCACAACACAGTGAGGGTCCATCTCTATTATTATTGAAATATGATAATCTACAGCTAACACATAATCCCACCATGAACAGGTTGGTGCTCTTTTTATTAGTACCATGTAGTAACACGCCTGAAAAGAGTAACAAGTGCGAAACAAAGACAAATACACTGACAAAATAGTGCTACAACCTTGGTTTGAGCTCAACTGATGAATGTGATGCTGATGAAAATACGTTCTTCAAAAAATACTTTAGCTCCTTTTAGATTGCCCAGCCTTGAGTCACCCTGACGTTGCAGAATCATAACAAGGGATGCAGACTTGTCTTCTTTGTCGGGTGAATCTATTACTGCGAATCATTTATGTGCAGACGCACCAAAAAAGGGGTCTTACTGCTCAAATCCAGTCGCATTACTGGGCTCAGTGTTATAAATCAGCTACTTGTTTCATGGTGAAGTTTTGTGGCAAGAAAAATAAGTTTCTAAAGGAAATGATACAAAATGATCTACAGACAGAAGTGTACGTTGTGAGCAATTAAAAAAGAAAATAAATGAATGTGTCAATAATCACATTAACTCTACATTGTTTTGTATTTTCTGCTGTAAGCAGCACACTATCTGAATCACGCAGATGTGTTTTAATGCATTTGAGACTACACCTAAATATAAACCTGATATTTCTGAGACATAATGAGCTATGGTGAACCAGTGTGTGTGTGTAGAGATGTGTGTGGTTCCACTTTAGCAGCTTGGTGAGGTTTGCATGTAATGTAATCAAGGTAGACACAATGGGCACCGTGTGTAATGACCTGTGCTCTGGTGCAGCACTTCTCAAATTGGATGCTGCACATTCATTAAAATGAAGCGAATGGAAAAGCTTCCCGTTGAGAATAAAAGCAGCAGATCTTATATTAATTCAAAAACTCAGGCACACCATTTTCCTTACAATTCTGATTCAACCACACCAAAACTTTGGTGCTAATTTAAATCCAATTACCGACTCGTAGATTTATCTCTTTATTTCTGTAAATTTAAAGTATTATCGGGGCAGCTGAGCTGAGGTTGGAGCATAAAGGAGTCGATTCACACCACAGGAAAATAAAAAAAGTAAAAGCACCAACCCCAACTAAAACCTGAGGTTCTTTCTTCAGAGTGAACAAGAACATAGCGTAAAGCATGTAGGAAAGAGAATAAGCTTGACTTGAGGCACAGTGTGACAAACAGTAGAAGCCAGGATGTAGAAAATAGCATGTCGCCTTGAATCACAAATGTATTCCTCCTGTCTGTATTCGCTCAGGGCTCGAAGAGTCAGAAAACTTGAGTAGGAAGAGGCCAAAGTAAAGGATTTGAACACAATATGTAAAACAGAAGCATAATCACACTGATTAAAATGAAAATCTCACATTTATGCCACCATGTTTGTCTTGAGGAAAACAAATTTTTGTTCCAACCGAGCACTTCGTGTTCCAATGATCAGATCACACAAGTCTACTGATAAACTTCAGTAATATTATGAAATGAATAAAAACATTAAGAGAGCTCCTTAAACCACTGCTGTGACACGGTCGTTCTCCAAGAAACTGACCCTAAATGGAACCGGGTGAAAGAAAAATGCTTCATGGTAGGAGCACTTTCAACCATGTGGAGTTTTCCATGTTTCCTGTTTCCTCCCACAGTACAAAAACACAGAACTCTGACTAGAATAAACTGGGTACCGAAAATGAATGAATGATTGTTTTTCTTACCGAATGTTGGCTGATTTGGTTTTCAGGTCGCTCCAGCGTTGGTTCATGTCATCCAGTCTGTGTTGGAGGAGCACGGCTTCCTCCGAGTTGCCCAGTGCTTTGACCATCTTGGACTTGTTCCCATCCACGCTCTTATAGATGTCATTGTGGGCATCAATCTCAGCCTGGATGTCCTACGAATACAAAGATTTCATTCATTGAGTGAAAACTAGAGAATACTCAATAACATCCCACATTTTATAAAATAAAAGTTTAGATTGCTTAGACCAGTGATCCCCAACTCCCTTGCCCGGGGGTCATTATCACCATGATTTGGTCGTTTCCCTACTCCATCACATTTGATTCACCTGTTCAGCAGCTCATCAGGCTCTGCAGAAGCCTGTTAATCACCTGCTGATTAAAATCTAGTGTGTCGGATTAGGTAAACAACTAAAACATGCTAGATACAGGTCCTTGGGGAAGGGGGTTAGGGATCACTGGCTTAGACTGTCATGACCATGTTCATATCTTGCACAGATTAGTCTTGGGTTAATGGCCCATTGCACACGTCCACTGGGCAGAAAACGTTACATTTCCATGCAATGTCCTCAAGGCACTTTAACTAAAAATGTATAATGTCCACCCTGTCACCAACTTGGCAAGCCAACTTGTAAGACTCTAAGTAATGCCTGCCATCATAACTCTGCTGCAAATGTAAAAGTTAAATGGGGGCTATGCCAAAGCAAATTTAGCTAATTTATGCTGGAATACGTAGTTATGTTTGTCATTTTGAAGTATCTTTGGCTACTAGAGATCCCAGCATTCAACGTGGTGATGAAGCATGACTTCTCCATGTGTGACTGTGGGTGTGAGTGTACTAAACACAGCAGATCTCTTACACAACCACATCTCAAAGAGTAGGAGGGTGTTTGTTTGAGAGTGTTGAACCACATGGGAGAGTGACGCAAGCATAGGATTCAGTCAAATGTTTTATTTTTAGACGTGCAAAACTGCTCCATTTTCTTCTCTCCCGCCATCTCAGCTGGGACTCCCCTCACTTTCTCTTTTTTCAGCTGAAGATAAAGACTCCAAAAACGTATAGATGAGTGTACCATTGCCT